TTTTCCTGACCAACTGTGGTGTACTGCAGAGCAAGAGCACATGGAGAAGGAGAGGAGGAAAAGTGTCACCACAATAGTTAAAAACTTGTAAAGACTTCATTGTCTTGGACAAAATATCAATGCCAAAACAACCGTGAATAAGTACTAATTGAAAAATATGAGGGTTTAAACCCATAATTCCTCTCCATCCACGGTGCGTTATGACGCACAGCCAGAAATCAGGTCAAAAGCATCACAGGACGCTGGGGGAGTATAATTAAACCAAGTATATTCTTTAAAATTGTCAGTATGTGTTTGCCAGCTGATAGTTTATTGTGAAACAGCCACCATGATGCGTCACAGTGATAATTACCTTCACCACAGCAAAGCTTTAATTTATCTGGTTGTTACAAGAAGTGACAATTGTTTTGTTTATTTATTGTTTTGTTTTTGGTTCTTTAAGCAGCTGCCTGACTTGTGGGATTTTTCCTTTAAATAAATATCTCTCAATGTCATTTTTACTGCGTCGTTATTGTTTTATTATTGTAAGATTACATTTTCACCGCAATTGTTGCTAATAGAACAAATACAGCATGCAGATCTTTGCTAAGGGCCCTGTGACATTTTAGACAACTTATGCCACATCGGCAAATTTTGTCCAACACTTTAGCACACACTGAGGAGGAGAAAATAAAGCATTAATTAACCTTCTTTTGAACGTGATCATACCGTGTTGCTGACGACTTGAAAAGATATAAAACCTATGAATAAATTATCCCTACCTCAAACATAACTTTTTCAAGCTTATTATAAGATGTTGGTACTTCTGCAGCATGTATGTGCAACATCAGTGGAACTTCTGTAGAACTTCTGTACAACATCTGTGTTGGAGGAAATTACAACATTGGCAGCACTCACACAGTGACGCACAGCATCTACTTGTGAAAAAATCTACATGTTGATGGAAGTTAGGCATACTTTTAGAACAACTGAAGTTATTTTGCCACAATTTGATCATCCACCACAAAGCACAGGTGCCGTAGAGCTCCTGAAGCCGCAGCCTGAATCCTTCCAGATCACTGTGAGCGGCTCCACTCAGCAGCACATTTCACTGTCATTCAGAGATGTTGCTTTACTTTTGGGAATTAAACAATATTAACTGCAAAACATATCTATGTAGGTTATTATCAGGATTAAAGTAAAGGTGTGGCTTTGTTTTGTAATTTTTTGCATCACAACCTGCTGTTCTTTCTGTCAAAGTGTCAGGTTTAAAGTTGATCATAAATATCTGAAATTTTAAAATCAATACATGGTTACAAGGTTCTGGTGAATTGCATTAAACTTGTTTGTATTTAAAGGGGCAATATCTAGCCTGGCCCTTGCCTTCCTACGCAGCTCCGCTCAATTCTAGTTTCACTTCTCTGCTCCATCTGGCATTTCTCCCATCGAGATGGATTTCACTTGCAGATTTTTAGCCAGGCCAATCAGAGAACAGAACGTCGAATCAAAAAACAGAAGGCGGAGTTTTGAATGACGTCGATATTCTGCTGTGTCTGCTAGTTAGTTTAGCAATACAGCAGTGAAGGAAGTGAATGAAGCCAGTCTGTGTTGATAAGGCTTCCAAATTAAATTAAATTTGTCTGACAAAGCAGCAGCTCTCATTTACATTTGGCTCCGTGCTTTTCTCCTCTCAGTAGGGTTGTTTACAGTGCTCGCAATTTCCGGTTAGCTTCTTAGCTTAGCCTCCTTCACAGCGACAACACAAACGCTTCAGCAGAGGCCACGCCTCCTGCAAGAAACGATTCTCTATGCAGCAAGTCCAGACCCTCTGTACGAAGCAAAGTGAAGGACAAGGGTCTGGTTTTTACCACGCTAGGCAATATCATGTAAAATCAACTTTTTTGAGTCTTATATCATGTTATAATGTTATACTCTCATAAAAAACATGCCCAAAGCCTTGCCCTGACTCATTCATGCATGTTTGAGAAATCCTGCAGCATTTTGAGGAAGCCATGCTGAGGAGCAAAATGAGAGGTGGGGACCAGAAATGCCTTTGGGGGCCAGAAACGCCCATGGGACGTGTCTTTAAGCTGAACTTCCTCATGGCAGAGCGCACCCCCTCCCCCTCCCCTCACACCCCATCCATGACTCCCGCAGGCTCTCGGGTGAAACTGAAAGTGAAACTTAACTGTCTGCTGAGCTCTCAACATTACTTCTCACTTAGTGAAGCTCTTTTCAGATGAAAAATACCTTTGAGGAAATATATTTTCAGATGCCAAGTAAACTGCATCATGGCGCACGCATGTCCCCCCTACCCCCACTGAACGGGATGGGACAGGAGCAAAAGGATGTTCTTAAAGAGACAGAGGCCAAATTTCAAGCCGTTTAGAAGAGGAAGTGATGAGAAGATAAGTTTTTCAATTTAAACATAAAAACAGCATTTTAATAACAGCTAAAGGTGACATAGATACTTTTTTATGGTATAGTTTTTAAATATATGCCTGAGAAACACATATTGGCCTTTTAAAACTAGACTGGGACATTATTTTGATCAATTCATTAAAACTATTAAAATAGTCTATTTTGAGCATATCCAATAATAAACGACTAATCGACTATTAAAATAGTCAATTAGTCATTTATTTATTTTTGTTTGTTTTGCACTTTGTTTTTCTCTCCAAACGGCTTTGACACCTTCCACTGCCACATCTGCCTTTCTGTCCTTGACACACATGCACAGTAGTGGTAACTGGGGTAGGCTGTGGACGTCACAAGACATTATACAGACAGGCTCTGGTATCATGGCTACCTGGCAACGCAGCTCAAAAGTGTGGGATCATTTTAAGAAAAAAGAGAAATCTATACAATGCAATATCTGCAAGGCAGAACTTGCCTTACACAGCAGTTATTTTTAGATAGCATATAGCTAAAGTCTAACGATGGTTGTATAATGACAACTGCATTCTGGAGCGATAAGCTGTATGTTTTATATTCAATTAACGCATGATCCGATTAGTCGACTAAACGAAAAAATAATAGGTGATTAATGGATTATAAAAATAATCATTTGTGGCAGCCCGTCGACATTGTCATTGCGCCATAGGGACACAAATGATTTAAGGGGATGTGATGATTGATTACTGTAACTGGAATGGCTAAGCAAATTGAATGCTCTTCCAGGACCTGAACTACTAAAACTGCATTCAGATTGCTAAATTGGAAGCTACTTATCTGTCACCACTCCAGCAGTCTAGTGTTGCAAAGTAGACTGATCTGTTGTGAGTTTTGGCTCGTGTACTTCCTTCATCAATGTCTGTAGTTCTCTTTCAACCTCAGCTTTTAAATGAAAACCAGACTCGGAACACACAGCTCCAACTATTGCACCCCTCATTGTTGACAATTTTGCATAGTGACCTAAGTGGTTGTCCTGACTGTTGGTCACATGTTGAGCAATCTTAATTTTCCCCTGGCAGTGTAAAAGCAAAACAAACAAGTCCTTAAATTTTCTCTATAATAGGACTAACAAAAAGCCCATGAAAAGCATGTATTTTCAAAGGCTCTTAAATTTCTCAGCAGCCAGTTGTTTGACAGCAGTTTGTAAAAGAAGAAAACTCTTAAGATTTTAAGGTTTTAACTTGAATATTTTTTGCAACTAAATGTTTTATTCTACTCAAATCCTGTTTCTCCTTATGTGTTTTGAAGCCAGAGTTGCTGAAGTGATGAACAAACATGTTTCATCTCTGTACTAATGAGCTAATATGTTTTTAATTTCCTACTTGTGTAATTTGCAGATTTCTAATTTATAACTTACAAGCACATTACAAGGTACATTTTTTATCACTCACCTTTTTGTTGCTTTTATTTGTTTTTATTTGGGACTGACTGCATAGAATCATTTTATTGCACCAGTTACAATGACAGTAAACCAATTTTAACTGTGATTTGATTGCATTTTGAATTGTTCAAGATGTCACATTTAAAAAATTTTATTTATCTTTTATTATTATTATTTATTTATTTATTTATTTATTTATTTATTTTTATTATTATTATTCTTTTGGTCCGTCAGTCAGTCATAGGGCAAAACTTACTGAAAAGTTTAAACTTGCTGGGTGCTTTAATGATTGCTTTGCCTCAGCTCTCTTTCTTTAGTATTGAGATCTAGGGTCTATTTAGAGGACATCAGAGCCTAAATTACTTGCTACTATTACTGTTAATATTGAAAATAAGGTAATACCCCTATATTAATCATGGTTTTAAAGTATAATCTTTTGCTTTCTTACTTTAGAATTATGAGACAAGAATATTAAAAGTATACAGACCTATAATAGACCTATATTGAAAAGTATCAAGTGTTAAAATACCATCAGATCAGCTGTGGACATGGCATATGTATTTTACAGTTTGTTGAAATAGAGGCAACACTGTCCTATCCAGAGAGAGCGCTCTGAATATTACTGCAGAAGGTAATATTTATTCATCAAGAAACATCCAGAACCAGAGTACCAGTTACAGTACTTTCCCTGGAAAAACTCATGTGGAGCCACTTCCTTTGAAACTGCAGGGGACTGTGAAACCCTAGAATGACTGCGTACACAGTAGAGAGAGAGAGAGAGAGGGAACAAGGAGGTGCAATAGTGTAGCATGTTTTAAACAACTTGGCCATTTGAGAAAAAAATGAGTTGGAAAGTAGTTTGAGGCTTTTAATCCGGCTGCTTTTAAAGCTCAGCATGAGGCATTTTCTTTTCGACTTATAAAATATTAATTGGTTAATTTGTTTGTTAGTTGAATGGTACATTGTCTGAGAGGCAGTCAGTGTTCCGAATCAGACTTTGAAGGAAATGCAAAAGCAAGGTTTTAGAAAACATTTTTTAGTTCAGAAAATAAGGAGTCTTAGAAGCAATCCATCTGTTTTTATTTGAAAGAGTGATTAAGAAAAAAAAACTGCTTTGAGAAAAGCCAGAAAGAAAAATACCAATGCACTGTGGATTTAATCATGATATTGTTTGTGTGTGTTTCAGGAGTGTGATCCCTCTTGGTTGAAGACAGTGTGTGTCCAACACCATCTTCCCACACAAGACCAACAGTTTTACGATGCACTGATGAGGTAACGTAAAGACCTTCTGGCCCTTCGTTGCCACCCTTGGTCCATCCTTTTCCCTCCCCTCTGCCCTCTTCTCCCTTGGATCTACTAAATAATGGGCCAGAAGATCTCGGGCAGCATAAAGTCAGTTGATGTCCGTGGGGAGCCCTCATACCGACCAGTGCGGCGTGAACTAAGGGGTCCAGATTTCTGTCGGCCCACGAGGCTAGACCTTCTGCTAGACATGCCCTCAGCCAGCCCCGAAATGCAACTTTGTCACGCCTGGAACCCTGATGACCGATCGCTCAATGTCTTTGTCAAGGAGGATGACAAGCTGACGTTTCACAGGCACCCTGTGGCGCAGAGCACAGACTGTATCCGAGGAAGAGTGGGCTACACGAGGGGCCTCCATGTATGGAGGATTCACTGGCCAGCCAGACAAAGAGGCACTCATGCTGTTGTGGGGGTGGCCACTGCTGAAGCACCTTTACACTCAGTGGGCTACACAGCCCTGGTGGGTTCAGACTCTGAGTCCTGGGGCTGGGACCTGGGCCGGAACAGACTTTATCATGATGGAAAGAACAGACCTGTTTCCACATCAGCGCCCACTTACCCTTCTTTCCTGCAGCCAGATGAGTCATTCGTGCTCCCGGACTGTCTGACAGTAATATTAGACATGGACGAGGGGACGCTGAGCTTTATGGTGGATGGACAATATCTGGGAGTGGCTTTCAGGGGTCTAAAAGGAAAGAGATTGTATCCCATCGTCAGTGCTGTGTGGGGTCACTGTGAAGTGTCGATTCGCTACGTCAATGGATTAGATCGTAAGTGTAGCACCAACACACACAAACATTAGATTTTACAAGTTACTGGGAGTGGTTCTGTACATTTGTTTAGAATTGTATAATAAATAAAAAGTAATAAAAATTTTTAAATAACAAACATGCTCACATATCTCCTAAATGAGCTGCAGTGCTGTGCCCTTTGCAGCCTCCTGTCTGTGTGAGAGGAACAGGAAGAGGGCGGCAGACAGAATGCTCGGCTGTTATGACATTTAAGACCAGTAATAAATAGTGTTCAAATAATGTGTATGCTCAGTGTGTGAGAACGTTCCTGTATGTTTTGTTGGCACATAATGACAGAACACACACAACATTAACCATTAGATTAGATAAGAGGAGAGTGATCTTCAGTTATCATTTCAGCAAATTTCTTCCATGTGAAAACGCATCAGAAGTGATACGTGTTTATTAAATATTTTACAGTTGTACTGCATGTGTGGAATCAAATATTCTGAAACTACAAAAATAATACTATGCCTTTTTAGGTGAAACATTTCCAGAACACAATTATTACTCATTTAAATTCAGTTTACTCGGTGTTGAACATCTGAACTTTAGAGGAAATAAAAAGTTGTCATCACTACTGCAGCTTCATCATCATTCAGTGAATCAGGACAGATTATAAAAGATTTAAACTTTATTTCCTGATTTTTTTTAGTTTTATTTTACAAAAGGGAGAACTATTTCTTTCCACTCATGAAAAAAAAAAAACTTGAGGAATTTTCTTTTACAGAACACTTGAACATTTTTATTTTTATTTCTAAATGACAGGGGGATATTTTAAAAAACTAAAGTTGGGCTGGGTGATACGACTGAAAAATTTATCACAATCTCAACAATTTCTTATCAGACAATATTGATAATTATTGATTAGTTTTTTTACCAGTTTTGAAATAAAGACCAGGAGGAAAAAAAGTCTGATTAATACTGACAAACTGGTAGTGTGACCTTTCCTTTTTCATTCAAAATTTACTTTCGAGCTGTTGAACTCATTTTCTTCTTTCACTCCTCATCATTCTTTTTTATTTTTAGTTAATTAGCAGTTATGAGGCACTGTGGTGAAACATGAAATCACTACTGTGCATGTTACTCAACAGGTTGTTGCTTGATTACCAAAGAGAGAGTTAGGGGCAGCTGTGGCAGAGTGGTTAGGGGAGTCGCCATGGAACCAGAAGGTCACTGGTTCATTCCCCCGTTCCAGCTGTCTCAGTTGTTGTATCCTTGGGTAAGATACTTCACCCCTAATGCCTCTGATGGGTGTCCTGTCAGTGTATGAATGTGATTGGCACTGATTAGTCAGTCTCCATAGATGATTGTATATGTTAGCTTTGTAGGAGATCTAGTAGAGTGTTGTGTGAATGGGTAAATGAGGACACAGATTGTAGTGTGAAGCGCTTTGAGTGTCCTGGTTGGGTAGAAAGGCGCTATACAAGTACAGTCCATTTACCATTTGATACCACCAACCTTAGTTGGCTGGGTTGTGAGAATTAGCTAAAGCCTTTCAATTTTCAATTAATATCACTCATGTGTCTATAGAAACATTCATTGTTATTGTTTCATTGCCCATCCTTAAAGCATTGAAAGTTATTCCGAACTTAAAAAAATAACTTTGCTGTATTTTTATTCAAATCTCTCAATATTCATAAAAATTGGTTGTTTTCCTTTTTATTGATTGATTTTTTTTTACATTTACTATATAATGGAGACTCTTTGAATGAAAATGTATTGTTACATCATAAAACATTCAACTTCAAAAATAATATAGTCATACAAAATTGTGGAAGTGAACAACATTGCTGATTCAATGTGTTTATGTTCATTATTATTATTATAAGTATCCTAAATTTGAATACTTTGCCATTTAGTTTAAGTGAAAGTTCAACAGGAAGGTATCAAGGAAAAGGGCAATTTAAAAAACAGTTCATTGTTTAATTGCAATGCAATGTTTCTAAGGTCAATGAATAATGTTTTTTAATGACTGGCCTTTCAGTATTGATCAAAATAATATTATTTTTCCCATTAATCGAGCAGCTTTAGTTTCTATTATTATTATTATTATTATTATTATTATTATTATTATTATTATTATTATTATTACTGTACTTTTTGGTTTCAGCTCTTGCACTTCCTTTTATGTTGTGGAGTCACAGCTTTTCTACACTCCTCTTCACTGGTTTTTATTTGTTTTATTTCCAGTTTAAATTATCTGCCTTTTGTCCATTTCTGATTATATAAACCCCCTCCATGCCCTCATTCATTTGTGAACCACATTTTTGAAGTCAAGAAGTGTCCACACTTTAAGGGTGACAAATACAGCGGTTTTATTAAAACTAGGTCAGACAGCCCCAAGTGTTATGCTAATGTCTTAAGTAAAGATGTCTGGAAGCTTGTACCCGAGTCTGTTACCATATGCATCTCATAACAAAAAAAGAGAGCAGTGATGAGTTCAAGGAGCTGCAAAGTAGAAAACGCTGTAAAAGATCAGCCTGTCCCTTCCCTTCCCTTAGTTCTAAGTTGGACATAACTAGGTTGTGTTGTCTCATATTGAGCTAGTGTCTGTTCAGTGCACACATAACCACAAAAATTCAATGAGCTGCAAGTGTGAAAAAAGGAAAAACTGGAGGGAGCCATCGTCACTTTGCTGTAAGCTGTCTCACCTGACTGTGGGCAGACAAACTGACGCGTCAGCATCGCAGTGTTTACCTCCTTCCTCTGCTTTGTTCTCAATGAAGTGTTAGCTTGCCAGTCTGCAAGAGCATCTAAGGCATCAGAAACTCGCCCTTCTTTTAGCATACTTTCCCACACATCATCTTCTCTTTAGTTTGTCATAAACCTGTCAGAAACTGGTCTTGTTCTGTTTCAGAAAGGAGGCTTTTGAGAAAGGGGAGATGGTGCACTTTGACAGTTATGTGATGGACTGAAGTAAAAGGACAGTTAAAAATAAAGGTGCAAAGAACCATACCAATAACTCAACTGAACAGAAAAGCATATGTCTTATCTATTATCTGCTGCTTGTTCCAGAGTCAGGTTACTGGGCCAACAGTGTGAGCAGACATCTTTTTCCACAGCCACCTGTTTCTCCTGGGTTCTTCCGGAGTCCAAGTTTCGACCATTAACCAGCTTTTCCAACCTCAGCCCTGCTTATGAATAGAGTAGACCCGTCCCAAATTTCCCCAATTCGATTTTCTTCATGGAAGATGTGCTGATGGGACTGGGAGTGTCCTTAAAGTATTCCTTCCTCTGCCTGACCATGCCATATGTTGAGGCCAACAGTACCCGACATCCATTACGTAATAGGGGTGGGAATCTTTCACTATTTCATGATTCGACTCAAAATCGATTTTTCATTTAAAACTGATAATGTGAGCCCATATGTTGTGCTTCATCTTCATTTTGCAAACCTTGAACCAAGTGAAGCTCATGTCAAACTCGGACTCATTTGATAAAACTCAAAAGGAGCCCAAATCTTTGCCTTCAATAAAGACAGGGCCACTTGAGTCTCTGTTTTTTTTTCATTTTTGTAATTCCCTCTTTGATTTGGTGCTTTCTGTGCATGCAAACGTTCCAGAAACAGCTGCATGGTGATATCAGGATGTCCCACATAGTTACAAAACAGACTGACATCCATTTGATTTGCTTTATTTTTTTTTTACAATTTAAAATCGATTTTGTTGAATTTTAAATCTATTCTGAATCTTTGTAAATGAGAATCACGATTCTGATGTGAATCTTTTTTTTTTTGGTGCACCACTAATGTATAATGTTGGTAAAATGCTGCATCCCCTGTAACAGCCACCTGGCAGTCTACCAAAGTGTTCTTGGAGCCAATCAAAAGGCTTTATACAGTGCTTCTGTAACAGGTCTTAGGCGTGAGACCAGTCAGCAGATTAAAATTTGTGAGTATCAGTCACATGGAGGCAGTGCTTAAAAGCCTGAATTTTGCCTGAAACTCTCTGACTGAAGAAGTCTCCTGGAGGAGAGACGAAACGTTTCATTAGAGAAGAACCCATCCAGAAGACCTATACAATTTTTTTCTTTTTGAATACGTAGACGTTTTTGTAACGGTTTTATCTCCCTTGGACAGGGGAACATGTCCTGCTGACTGACAAACATCTCCTAGAGTTGTCTCCTCAACACATTGTTGTCTGAGACAGGATGCAGATTTATGTACATAATGTTGCATCCTCAATAACATTCACTAATAGCAGATGTTGACAGACTAAACTAGCCTTGTCAAATACCTGCTCTTGACTATTATAAGAGGTAGAACTACCATTGGTTACAAGATTTTATATAGCTTCTACAGTTAATTTTTAATTGACTGAAATAGCCATTTAACCACAACAGAAACCACTTATCAGTGCTGTTAGTCAGTTGAACCATTTGACTGAGTGTGTGTCTTCTGTGTGTACCTCCCATTGGTGCTCATCAACTTGTTTGACAGAGCCATTTGTCGCCCCAGGCAACCCTGACCATAGAGACCAGCAAGTGCCAGCAGCGACTGGCTGGTTTTCAGTGAGCAGAATCATCTCAACACCACCTCCCTCAGGAGAGCGGTGTCAGGATGTGCTAGTGTGTTACCTTTACTCCCAAAGCTGTGTTTTACTTCTAATATGCAAGAGGTGATAATCACCTTCCCAAAGTTACAGATACAAGTAAATTTGTGGGACTCGTTGCTGGGGTGGACAATTTATCTAACATGAACTTGGGTTGAAACAAAACTGCAAAAAAAAGTTTTTTTACTTTTATAAAACTAAAAAATATTTTCAGCAGCATTACGTTTAACATTTGACAGGTGTTAAAAATGTGTAGCATTCAATTATTTGTTTACATGTTAGTTTCAACAGATTTGCAGATAAGCTGTACATTTAAGGCATCCCTTTGAAATCTGGACACCTTGTGTGATGTATGACATGTGCATCTGTGATATAACTAAGTGTGATGTGAGGATCTTGTTTCTATGGAAACTGTCCATATGTTCA